ATTTTGTTATATTTCTATTTAATAGATGTTTATAAACATTTTAAAATTTTTAAAAAATAAGAATAGCAATTCTAGTGTAATGGTTAGTTTGTTATTTTTCAAGCAGTAGGTTCAATGTTCAAATCCTATTGGTGGCAGAAATTTAAAAAATTGTTCTATTTTAGCAAACTTATCTGTAATCTAAGTTTTATTGATCTTGTAATTTTGATTATACCAAAACTAATTTTGAAAGTGTGCAATATTACACAAATAAATCTAGAAAGTATATACTTAGATTAGAAGCCTGCTTAGAAATCCTGAGTAAAGAGGTAGTATAACTTTTTTTTCAAAAATGCGAATTGGTATACTTTATTAATATAATACAATTATTTAACTATTTACAATCTAATATGTGTTTAATGTTTATATGATTCATAATTTTTTGTATTCTTTTTTCTTTTTGCAATTTGTTTAAAACTTGCAAGTTTCTTTTAATTTTCTCTTCAGTAACTTTACTGACTATTGATTCAGAAATAATATTTTCATCCCATCTAGCTTGGGTATACCATAGCCATATTTTATATATAGCTAAGATATGTATTTATCATGCTGTCTCAAGTTTAGAGGCATCATGAATATTACTAGCCATAAAGATTTCTTCTAATGTTTCTGAGCACTTCACTTCTTGAGGATTATTAAATACTTTATAGTGTTCTTTTCAGATTATTTTGCTAATATTACAATCAATTGCAAAGTGTTTGATTGTTTATTTCTTCTCAGAACAGTTTAGGCAGTTTTTATCTATATTTTTTTCTATGTGCATCAGCCTATATCCTAGTAGTAATGCACTATTTTGTAATCTCCAGAAGATATCTTTTTTTCGATTTAATACTTCCTTTGTATCTAATCATTTAAAAGGCTTTCGTCAGTTTTCTTGTGATGTTATAAGGACTTAAGAGGTTGTTGGCATTATTGAATATAATCTTAGATATTTTATTGCTTTTTTTACTGAGTACTGATCTCCTGACTAGTTACCTATTTTTAAACTAGAGGCATTCCATTGCCAATTACTTGTAGAGTTGGTTGTTCCTTCAAGTCTCTTCTATGCTGTTAGTTATGGTCTCCAGATCTCTGGCCAGCCTTTTAGCTTTATCAGATATTTGGTTAAGGCCTTAGTTACAGTTATTTCTCTTTTATTTTGTAACTGTTTAGATATTAGAACTTACCCATAGGCTGTTTTGGGTTAGGAGTTTGATTCATACTGATGTTAATCTAGCATTCAGAGCATTTTTAAGCACAGGAGCTGCCAGTTCTCCTCTATCATAGTCCAGCTGAAAAGCTGCATATCTAGAGAGCATCTTGGATTTATTTTTAATCCAATTTGATATAAGGTTGTTTATTATATTTAGCTGCTTTCTGCTCAGTGACAGCAGGTAGGCCAAATACCAAATTTTCAATATAAAAAAAGCTTTAGCTACTAAAATTTTTTCTTTAAAGAATAGATTTCTAGTTGCTATTTTTTTTATCTTGTTTATAATATTTTGCATTAAACTTTCCCAAAGTTGTTTTTTGGGGTTGCCCTCTATGTCTACTTTATATTCTAAAATTCTTAAAATGATTTCTTTGTTTGCTATTTTGTATTAACTTTGATTTTGTAATTCTATTACTTTTACTATATTTGTTATAGGAATTTTATAGATTTTTTTTGGTTGATTTTAGTATCGGATGCTTGCTTATATCACTTTAGCAGAGCCATCAACCTTTCTCAATCCTGAGATAAGCTAATTTTTATTGTCAAATCATCTGCATATGCTACAGCTTAAAAGTTGCAACTTGGTAGCTGAACTTCTTTAATCTCTTCTTGAATTTTAAGAATCAGTAGGTTCAATGCCATTATGTATAGCAGGAGAGAAAGAGGGTCTCCTTGTCGAACTCCTCTTTCAACTTTAAAGGGTTCTGAGATTATGCCTGCATCTGCTATATTAGCTGTTTGAGAATTAAAAAGAGACTTGATAATATTAATGAACTCCATATTGAAGTTCATTTTTCTAAAACCTTTAGAATAAATATATGGTTTATTCTATCAAAGGCTTTTTGTTGATCTAGAAGCAAGAGCTAGTGAGAGATGGCCTGGTCTTTTGATTTCTCATTACTGTAAGAATATCCAAAGCAGCATCTGTAATCGATCTTCCTTTTATAAAAGCTTGTTATAATTGGCCAATTATTGTTTCACAGATTAGGTTAAATCTGTTTACCAAGATATTCATAAAAATTTTGATATTACAGTTTGTAAATAATATAGGTCTCTAATTATCTATATTATCTAACTCTTCTGTTGTTTTTGGAATTAGTGTAATAATGCTTTTAGTCCAAGACCTAGAGATGTTGCCTGTTTCTAAGCAAAAATTAAACAGTCTTGTGAGTACTGAAAGAATTTCATCCTTGATACCCTTGTAGAATTCATATGTAAGACCATTTGAACCTGAAGCTTTGTTGTTAGAAAGTATGTTTATTATATCATTACCTTCTTTTTTAGAGACTTGTTTCATTAATGCTGCATTCTGTAACTCTGTTATAGATGAAAGATTATATGTAAAAAAACTTGTAGCTTTTGTATCTATTCCATTATTTTTATATATTGCCTAGTAGATATCTTTAATGTATTGTAATATAGAAGTTGGATTTTCTGCTACATATTCTTGTGATGAATGTATTTTATCTTTGGCTAATGCTAAGTTTCTTATCTTATATAGAGAAAAGAAAAAATTTATAGATTTTTCTTTTTCCTTAATCTATTTGGCATTAGATCTCATTTGCTATTTTTCAGAAAGTGACTGGAGTTCTTCTTGTAACTGTAACTTAATGTTTTCTTTAGTTACTAGAATTTCATCTGTATTTTTACTATTAGCTGCTTTATCTAGTTCTATAAGTCTTTTTTGCAGTTTTGTATTTTCTTTTCAGAAGAAACTTGTGAACAAAATGCTCTTATTATAGACTGTATTCTACATTTGTACAGGTTCCACTTTGTAAAATTGTGAATATTTGAAACTTCTTCTATTATTTCACTTTTAAGAAGACTGTTATTCCAGCTGTTTTGGGAAAATCACCATTGTTTGGTTCTAGAGGATGTTGATGTAAGTTGAAGCTCACATTCTACAAGCAGATAGTCTGAGTTGCCAAACTGTGTTGCAATATTCTGACAGCAATAAATGTGATTAGCATCTATGAATATATAGTCTAGTCTAGTAGCCATTCTATGATTTTCTTGAGTGTTTTGATAATATGTTAGAAAAGGGTTGCTATTATTTATAGCTGTATGGGTATTTACAAAATTTGTAATAAGTTCTTTAAGTTGTTCTCTTGTAGGGTCATTAGCTGTTAGAGCATGACTAATTTGGTCTTTTTGTAGGTTAAGATTAGTGATAAAATCTTTAGCCAGTATGTTGATATATTTCTCTTCATACTGTAAAGTCCAAATATTAAAGAAACAAGTCCTATTCTTCACATTTGGTGGTGCATATATATTATTTAAAAGAAATAGTTGTTGCTTATATATGAATTTTGCTGTAATTACTTAACTTTTATGTAATTTCTTAACATCGTCAAAGTGAATATTTCTGTTTCCTGCTAGTATTGCAGTTTTAGCTGTCTAATAAGAACTGTAATTTTATTGTTGTTACAAAAAATTTCTTGTGTTTACATTTTCTAAGTTTGTTTCTTGAAGCATGATTATATCTATTTTATATGATTTTAAGAATGTAAGTGTTCTGTAAGCTTTGACTTTGTTATTTAAACCTTTAACATTTAAGGTTGTCATTTTGATTGACTTAACTATATTTGTTATATATAAGGTGTAGTTTAGAACTTGTTAGTCTTTGGGTTAAAGACCTTTGAGTTCACCTTATTGGATTTGTTTTCCTCTAAGATAGCTATTTTGGATTTGTGTTTGTGCTTTCTCTTAGAGATAACTACTTTAAACCCATTAGAATCTTCTTGTTTAATGTTTGTCAACATCATAACTATTGGCATATCATTGTATAGAGATGCTATCAGGTCATAAAGACCATTTTCTTGCCATATTTCTTATATATTTAATGCAACTTTCTTTTGTATTGTTTCTTCTAAAAGCATAAATTAAGTGCTTTTAGCACTATTATTCATTTCAGTTTCTGTTCTTGGTTGTTCTATTTCTTTGTTATTTGGGGAACTATTATTAGCTTCAATTTCTGCTTTGGTTGCTCTGCTTTCTCATCATCAAGGTTCATTCCTAGACTAAGTTCCTTAGTATAAGGATTTTTTGTACTAAATTCTGTTATGGTTTCTTCTTGATAATTTATATATTTTTTTTTTTGTAATCTTTGTTTCCTTCTTGCCTTTTACAAGTTTTTAAGTTCAACAGATGCTTGGTATTTAGGACATTTTTTTTTGATATGTCCTATTTTGTCACAAAAGTAACACAGTTTCAGAGCTTTTTTTCAGTCTGTTGTTACTTTGTGATCCCAAACATGTGTATACCTAGGAATTCTTTTTGCTAGTTTAGGATCATCTGTTATTTCGAAAATTACCACCTATTGGTCTGATAATATTGAAGTTCTTTTATATACTAGTGGTTTAATAAATACAATTGGACCTACATCTTAGAATGCTATTTTAATTTAATCTGCAATAAAATCTTTTTTGCCCATAGGAGCATTTTGAAGTCTAACTAAAAGGAAGCTACATCTAATATTGATTGAAATGTACCTCTAGAGATTTTGTTTAAAGATGGCAAGACCTTCTACAGAATATAGCTGTTGCTTATCCTTATTTACAAAAACTACCTCCAAATGTGTTTTTTTTCCCTTAAAAATAATTGGTTTAACTGCAACTATGTCATTTCTGAACTTTTGTGCCATTGCTTCTATGATGTCAGTTGTTGGAATATTTTTCAGATTATTTATCTCAAAGATCAAAGCATTCTCATTCTTTGTATTAATTCTTTTTCTTGGTAAGTAGGTGGAGTATGTTGCCTTTCTTCTTTCTTATTTGAAGAACAATTCTGACCATTGTTTTGGTCTTGGTTGGGAACCTGTTTCCTTAGTCACATGACTTATACCTTGTGTTTTGTTGTTATCATATTCTATATAACTATTTTGTAGCACATGTTCTGTTTGTTTTAGTTGTTTTGGCAGTTTCTGACATGTTTCTTTACAAACTGTTATGTCTTTTACTTTTTCTTTGATTTTATCTTGGTCTTGATTTTTGGTCAGAGGTTCTTTACCAACATAGTTTTTATTAAAACCTACTGTTTTGTTTGCATTTGCTGAGGTATCTAGGATGGATTTTTCCAAACTTCTAGTCTTATTTGGCAGCTTTGCTTCTTGGTTTTGTTTTTCTTCTTTGAAGAAGAAAACTCTGATTTTTTTGTTTTTTTCTGTTTTGTCTGTTAAAAAGCCAGACATAACTATACAGACTTGTTTTCTTTTCTTCAGTACAAGAGTTTGATCACTTGTTTATTGTTGTATATATTATTTTGCTCTCTACCAAAAATCGGAGTAGAAAAAGAGAGAGAGTTTTTTATTTAGTACAACTTTCAATAATACCAACTGTAAAGATCTTGATCTGAAGAAGAAAACTTAGAGCAGGTAATCTGTACAAGCAAGAACCTCTAGGTAGAGGGTCTACCAACCTGACCACTAGTTAATCTAAGCATAAAGTTACATTATGCAAGACTAACTGGATTGGTAGTATAGAAGGACTTGTAAGAGTAGACAAGGTATCAGTGAGGTTGTAAAAGGAGGGTACTGGGGTTGTATAAACTTTGCAAGGATTGTAAACTAAGTTTAGTTATAAATTAGAATATAGAAGACTCTAGTAATAATGTTTTGAGAATATATTGCATGAAATAAGATATAAAGTCTTAAAAATATAGGTATACATTTAGAACTTTTTAACTGATATCATATAATAGGAATGTTCTAGTAATACAGTAAGAATTGCAGTACAGAAAGTTTAAATAGGCAATACCTATAGTTAAGTTGCAGATATAATAGCTAGTATAGAATTTACATATAGGCAGACTACTTAAATTAGATATCAAAAATATACATGTAGCTAAATGTACTCTTTAATATAAGATAGCATTTTTGAGATAATCAGACTGTAAGCTCCTGTGTTCTACTATACTGAATAAAAAAAAGCCCTAGTCTTAGAAAAACTAGTTTAAAAAAAAAAATTAAAAAAACTTTGATCAAAGTATTTTAACAACCATATAACTAAATTAGATGAAATTTTTTTATTTAAATTATATGAATTTATAGAATTTAAATAAAAAATTTTTTATTATAAACTTAAATAAATTTTTTTTTAAAAACAGAAACTTTAATACAAAATATATATAGATATATAAATTACTATTAAAAACTAAAGTACCAAATAAAAATATTCAGAACTTCAAAAAACTAATCATATTAAAAATTTGGACCTTTATATTCTAACTTTAAGTTTGGTTTAAAATTGGACTCTATCTCTAAATTTTGATAAAAGAAATAAGAAATGATATTATCACTGATGATAAATGCTAAATTTATTAAAAAAATCTTTTTATATATAAACTAATTTTATTTATTGTTTTTGTTATAAATTCTAATATTATTATTGTTTTTTTTTGCTTATGCTAAGGCTATAGTTATTGGCAGATATTGCTTTTATTGTATTTTAATTATGGTTATATAACTTATACAAGGTAAGTATACAACTAGTCATACATACAATTTTTGGTTGTTTATTTTAAGTAGTCCACCTGCACAGCAGGTTCTACACTAACTACTATATCTGTAATCTACTAGAAGATTACCTATTTAAACACTTTAATCTTTATACTTATACTGACAAATAGTGCATAAGTTCCCATACACTTAAGTTTGTTTAACCTAATTATGACCTTCCTGTCTATACATCCATCAAGCCATTACATATTTCAGAATATGTTATCTAACTGTAAGGCTCCAAAGAGCCTTCTTGCTAACTAACTACTCACATTTAGTATCTTGTTAACAGAGCTTGCCCTTGCAAAGTTTATCCAGACCCCAGTACTAACTTCATAGCATATTCATAGTACTTATAGTATACTTCTGTTTCTGATTTCAGACTCCTAATTCAGATAGCCCAGTAGGACTATAACCTGTCCTTAGTATCCCAGAGTCTGCCTTTCAAGATTCTTTTTCTTCAGTTCGAGACTTCCAGTAGTCTGGTTAGCCCTATAGAAAAATATATATCAAAATATTAATAAAAATTACAGAAAATATACAGAATGTATAAAATATATATATAATAATAAGATTTATATACTGAATTATAAATAATTCTATTACTTTGATAAAAATTATTTTAAATATATACAAAAT